ACTGTCCACCACAAACATCCCCAGTCTGTTTTTGGGCCCCACAACATCTGGATTTGGGGTCTCTGCTGCCACATCTGGAGTTTTGAGATGTTTTAAGCCCGTTTTGGGTGAGTTTGGACTCCCAACATCTGGATCTGGTTCCTCCCCCTCCACATCTGTGTCACTGTCCACCACCAGCATCTGACCCCCATTTTTGGGTGCCCCAGCATCTGGATTTGGGGTCTCCACTACAACATCTGGAGTTCCAGGGACATTTGGAGTCATTCTGGGCTTTTTTGGGCTCCCAACATCTGGATTTGGGGTCTTCACGGTCACATCTGGAGTTTCAGGGACTCTTTCGGTCGTTTGGGGGGTTTTCGGGCTCCCAACATCTGGATTTGGCTCCTCCTCCTCCACATCTGTGTCACTGTCCACCACAAGCAGCCCACAGCTGGTTCTGGGCCCCTCAACATCTGGATTTCGGGCCTCTGTCCTCAAACCTGGAGTTTCGGGCACTTTTGGGGCCATTTGGGGTCTTCTGGAGGCCCCAACATCTGGATTTGGGGCCTGAACTTCCACATCTGGAGTTTCAGGGATGTTTGGGGTCGTTCTGGGCCTTTTTGGGCTCCCAACATCTGGATGTGGCTCCTCCTCCTCCACATCTGTGTCACTGTCCACCACCAGCATTCCATGGTCATTTTTGGGCCCTTCAACATCTGGATTTGGGGTCTCCGCCCTCACACCTGGAATTCTGGGGTCTTTTGGGGCCATTTTGGGTCTTCTGGCGGCCCCAACATCTGGATTTGTTGCCTCCTCCTCCACATCTGTGTCACTGTCCACCACCCGCGACTGACACCCATTTTTGGGGCCCCCAACATCTGGATTTGGGGTCTTCACCCCCAAACCTGGACTTCCAGAAACACTTTGGGTCATTCGGAGGGGTTTTGGGCTCCCAACATCTGGATCTGGCTCCTCCTCCACATCTGTGTCACTGTCCACCCCCAGCGTCCTTTGGGTCTTCCCAACATCTGGATTTGGGGTCGGAACCCCCACACCCGGAGTTTCGGGCACTTTTGGGGCCATTTGGGGTCTTCTGGAGGCGCCAACATCTGGATTTGGGGTCTTCATGGCCACATCTGGAGTTGTAGGGTATTTTAGAGTCATTTTGGGTCTTCTGGAGGCCCCAACATCTGGATGTAGCTCCTCCTCCTCCACATCTGTGTCACTGTCCACCACGAACATCCCACAGCTGGTTTTGAAACCCTCAACATCTGGATTTGGGGTCTGAACCCCCAAACCTGGAGTTTGGGGCACTTTTGGGGTCATTTTGGTTGGTTTTGGGTTCCCAACATCTGGATGTGGCTCCTCCTCCTCCACATCTGGGTCACTGTCCACCACCAGCATCCCACAGCCCTTTTCGGACCCTTCAACATCTGGATTTGGGGTCTGAACCCCCAAACCCGGAGTTTTGGGCACTTTTGGGGCCATTTTGGGTGGTTTTGGGCTCCCAACATCTGGATTTGGGGTCTTCATGGTCACATCTGGAGTTGTGGAGTATTTTAGAGCCATTTTGGGTCTTCTGGAGGTCCCAACATCTGGATTTGGCTCCTCCTCCTCCACATCTGTGTCACTGTCCACCACGAACAGCCCACAGCTGTTTTTGGGCCCCATAACATCTGAATTTGGGGTCTTCACGGCCACATCTGCAGGTTTGGGGTCTTTTAGGGCCATTTGGGGCCTTTTTGGGCTCCCAACATCTGGATTTGGCTCCTCCTCCTCCACATCTGTGTCACTGTCCACCAGGAACAGCCCATGGCCAATTTTGGGTGCCCCAACATCTGGATTTGGGGTCTGAACCCCCAAACCTGGAGTTTCAGGGACATTTTGTGGCGCTTTGGTTGTTTTCAGGCTTCCAACATCTGGATTTGGGGTCTTCACAGCCACATCTGGAGTTGTGGGGTATTTTAGAGTCATTTTGGGTCTCCTGGAGGTCCCAACATCTGGATTTGGCTCCTCCTCCTCCACATCTGTGTCACTGTCCACCACAAACATCCCACAGCTGGTTTTGGAGCCCTCAACATCTGGATTTGGGGTCTGAACCCCCACACCCGGAGTTTGGGGCACTTTTGGGGACGTTTTGGGTGGTTTTGGGTTCCCAACATCTGGATGTGGCTCCTCGTCCTCCACATCTGTGTCACTGTCCACCACCAGCATCTCATCCCCATTTTGGGACACCCCAACATCTGGATTTGGGGTCTGAACCCCCAAACCCGGAGTTTGGGGCACTTTTGGGGCCATTTTGGGTGGTTTGGGGTTCCCAACATCTGGATGTGGCTCCTCCTCCTCCACATCTGTGTCACTGTCCACCACCAGCATCCCACAGCTGGTTTTGGAACCTTCAACATCTGGATTTGGGGTCTCCACTGCAACACCTGGAGTCTCAGGGATGTTTTGGGTCTTTCTGGGTG